TAAGCTTACAGGTCTAATGCTGCTTACTGTCATCTTTCCGCCCAACTTTGCACGAGGGATCGTTGCTTTTTAATTTCCTTAGAAACTAACTGCAGACTTGGAGTAAATCAGTATATTTAAGGTCTATAGGTCCAGACCAAAGTTACGTATGAGCTTATATGCCTAAAAAATACTGATTTGCTCCAACTTTGCGGTCAATTTCTAAAGAAAATTTAAAAACAGTAATTTACAAATTGAAATATCTACGAGAAAGTAGAAACGGAATGCTGGAGGACACACTGACGATCCGAACCCCTCGCACATGTTTCATGCAGTTGCAGAATATCGGCGAACCACGTGTGTCTGAGCTTTTGGCTACTACCTGTACTGTTAGTACAGAATTACCTTAACTTAAAATTACACAAATAAGTTATGTTGTTCGCCTACCTCTACGTAAGTAAGCCTACTGTTCTTACTCTCATCTTGAATAGATAGGAAAGCGACATCGGTAGCTCTGTCGATATTCCCTTGCATATCAACCCGGAAATTTTTTTCAGTCCGAGGATTTATCTGGTTTAATATGACTGGGAACCCGCAATGCTTCTTCGGCGGATAAGTCAGTGGTCTCAAAAACGGTTGTTTCTTTGCCAACACCAAATACCAGTTTTACTTCTAGGAATCTCATCGTAAACGCAGATCATAAACGACGAGCACGCTGCAATCTGTGTAGAGCTGAAACCCAGCTGTCGGGGATAGGCATGCGGCTCACGTCGACTTCACTGACTTTCAAAGGGCCTTCAAATATTTGCCGCAGCAGTAATTCTTGTACACTCTGGTAAGAATGCAGATCAGAGGTTATTTCGTCAGACAGATCAAAAACTTCCCCACTGGTCTGCAAAGGAGCTTATGAATCAGTCAATAGCAATTAAATCCTGCTGCTTTTGAGAACGGTGTTTGCCAGGGTGCATTACTGGTGTCCCCTTTGTTCTTGTGAACGTGCACGATTTGGCATGAGACTTAGATTTAAAACCAGCAATAGTTGTCGGCAACATGAAAATTTCATGTAAAATCCCGACCCTGTCGGCGAAGTCAAATTCCAGATCAATCTAGATCGGTTAAAGTGATGTTCAAATCATTATCTCATGTTGTTCAACGACGGTAAGCGTATCATTATTCGCCTAGGCAACCTAGAAGAGTCCGCCATCACATGAAACCACTCTATTGACTGTGCATCTTTACAATACATGGAAGCCCAAAATGACGTCGATTTGTTGGCTGCGTCTATCGCTCTTCCAACGCCAACGACAATTTTGATCGTTTACTCTCACATTGATTTAATGCTGCGGCCGACTCAAGCTTTAAGTATCAATTGGTTGCGGGTGACTTTAGCCTTCCCGAAGTCCGGTAGTCTCCGCCTTCAGGTCCCGGAAGGTTCGAAGACTTTCTTGGGACTGTGAATGTTGGGATGTGGACTCAGATTGTCGATTTTCCCACCCGAGGCTCAAGCATACTGGACCTTATTTTCTGTAGAGGCTGAATGCCATCGTCAGTGTCATCCCAAGGCCCACTCGGAGGCTCAGAACATGACATAGTTGTTTAAACGTTGGAATTCGAGGCTGACAAAACGTTGTCCCCAAAGTATAACTTTTTCCGCGATTTCCGATCAACTCATTTAACTGAATTACTAACTCACCTTAATTCCTACGAATGGACGGATTTCTTCCTTAGTTCGGATGTGAATGTTTGCACTGCAAAACTGTACGAAATTTTGGATCTGCTTATTTCTCGTTGTGCTCACCGTAAGAAAATTATAAATTTTGGGGATGAGGTTTTCCTACCCTTAGCCTTTCGTCGCAGATTGCGCAGACTTTATGGTCGGTTCCATCTTCAGAACAATGTTTCTGTCCTGCCATGATTTGTAACATTTTTGAGCGGGCTAAGAGATTGTCTGAAGAAAAACTGCTGGCCGAAGAGGTCCAGTTTGGCGAAAATCATTCGTTTACTGTCTCGAAACTTTTCTCTATAAAAATACAAACTCTTAGAAGGACGCAGCATCCAATTCTCTGAGACGCTCTCGGAAATCCCATAGTTGATGCCCAGTTAACCGCTGATAGCTTCCATGATTTCCTGTCCAAAACGTTTATTGAAGACTCGACCACTCTGCTTCCAACCATCCAGTCATTGACCGGGGCAGTTCTAGAAACTAAAACTTTCACTCTGTGGGATGTGACTGTTGCGATTCGGCGTTTTCGTCAATCTAATAGTCCAGCCCCTGATGGTGACCCAGTAAGCATTTTAAAGGCCGATGCAAATACGATTTTTCTATCCCTCTTATGCAAGATATTTAGTCTCGCTGTTGAAAGCGAGACTTATCCTACCCCGTGGATGGAATCACACATTTTGCCCATTCCTAAGCACGGCTAATCCATGTCATTTGATGACTTTCGGCCAATAAACACCCTCCCCTTCAGTTTCGAATATCTTAGAGACATTGATCAAAGATAAGATGATGTGTCACTTAACAGAGGATAACCTACTGAGTGCTGCTCAGCATGGATTCCTAAAAGCTCGGTCTTTTGACACCTGTGAACTCTCGTTTTTTGACTATTTTCTCCAAGCTAGGGACAATGGTTTTGCACTTTACACAGTATATCTCGATTTCACTAATGCTTTCATCGTGTTGACCATGCTATTCTTCTCTTGAAACTGTCCTCTTTTGGAATAGGTTGAAAACTTTTGAATTTTATATCCTCTTACCTGGGCACTCGTACACAAGGAGTTGAGATTTCCAATACCATCTTCAATCCCACACGTGTGAGGAGAGGAGTCATTCAGGGTAGTGTACTCGGCCCGCTTTTATTTTGCCTTTTCGTTAATGATGTACCCGATTTATTTAAGAATGGTAAGCCTTTCATGTATGCCGATGATCTTACAGTTGCATATCGATATAAGCCCCCAGATCATGACATCGTGCTTGAGCTCCTAAAGAGCGATCTAGAGGCTTTTACCCAGTAGTGCCGCACATGGCGCCTTTCACTTTCTTGGCATAAGTGCTCAGTCATGGTAGTTGACGACGACCGCCAACCTCAACTAAGTATTGACGGTCACGCCTTAAATGTGTCCGGGGTTATTAAGGATCTGGGCGTAGCACACTCCAAGAGTCTCAATCTCTCGTAGCACTGTGTCGTGATAGTCCCAAAGCACGTAGAACGACCGGGTTTATCCTCCGAAATTTTAAAACTAGGGACATTATAATGCGCCTTTACAACATGTACGTTAAACCTGGCCTGGAATACTGTTCGTTTTTAATTAGATTCATGCGTGCTTCTGAGCGGAAGAAAAAAGAATCTGTTCAAAACTGTTTACCAAGAGAATTTTAACCGCAGAACGCCGACATCTGTCTTACCAAGAACGTTGCCGGCTTACGGGCCTTGATCCTTTATGGCTCCGTAGAGTACAAAAGGGACTATTTTTGCTATTTATACTTAAATATAATCATACATTTAACCCGCTCACCTCTTTAGGACATCATGTCCGCCCCCGAAGTAACAGTCACCGTGAGGTCTGTTTATTTCTTCCTCTGGCACGTACTGTTGAATGTCGTCGGTATTTTTCTGTGAATGCTATCGCTGTTTGGAATAAACTACCCCGGAATGTAAAAAATCTCCGAAATTATCCTTTATTTAAGGGAAATATTATTCGATTTTTGCATTCAGAAAAGCTCCCACAAATTTTGGCTGCTGAATCCACCGAACGACTGTACCGTAGCGATGGCGTTTGTGGCCTCTAAACAGTATGGCCTTTCTCACCAGGGACAATTTCTTTGGCCATCAGCGACAGATGTTCTTCGGAGCCTCTATTTTGACCATCCCAACTTCATGAAAGAAATTGGCGACTGATAATATCTGATTCCGTGCAAGCCCTCCCTTCTTGGCAATCGAAAGCTTGTCGCCAGCAGTTTTTTCTCCTGAACCCTCCAAACCATAACAACCATTAACTATATTTTTATTCCTTTTCCACAGGAGTTTTTTTCACTGCTGACCGGATTTGTGTTTAACGCTTCCCTGACAAAGCCTGTAAAATGGCATTAAATAAAATAATTATTAAAATAATCAAACTCCTTAAAAATATTAGCCCATTGATTGCGAGTGACAATTCGACCATCGGTTTCGATGATGTCCACCGTGTGCCCAACTGTTGCAGCAGCAATGGGAGCAGGGACGGTGACTTACGCAGGGGTTTATAGTGCCGGTAGACTTGCGTAGCATCTTCCTACACTCTCTCCTCCTCCCCCGCCTGGGCCCGGTGTCAAGACAGAGTAAAGAAGACCGGAGACGAGAGAGGCCGCAGGTGGATGGCTCGGACGGATCCTCATCTTGGCGTTCCACCACACCCTCTGGTCCACACAACAAATAACCAGGATTCCAACCAACGCAAGAGAGATTTGTAGGCTGGCACGGCCGAAGCCGCACCTGGGCGTGCCGCCAACGCCTGGCTCGGATCCCACACTGTGATGGGAGTGCCATAAAGGCCACATTAAAAAGGAGCCATTGCAGCCTGACTCTCAGACCGCCTCCGGTCAAGGAGGAGGTCCAAGTTACCCCGTCAGTTGGCAACCTTCCAAGACACGGCTTTTAGCGCACCGTGATAGCTTCAAGCGCGTCAGATTGTTTATAGCGAGGAGAAAGTGCGCTGAGTCGTCGACCTCACTCTCCCTTCCCACTCCCACACCCCAGCCGCTGTCCGAGCCGGTCAGCAGACTGGAGTGGGGAATGGGCGCGGTGGCTGTCATGGTCGACTGACCATGACTGCGCGCGCCACGGCACGACCTGGTCCCCCATACACACAACACCAGGATTTCACACAACGGGAGTTGAGCGGCTTGTCTCTCACTTGCGTGAGAGTGACGTGGAAGGTGCTGTCTCAGCCCGTCCCTAGCCTACCAGTCCGCCACTCCACACAACACACACACAACGGGACGAACTGCGTGGACCGAGTGGGGGCGTCAATCAGTAACCTTCCTATCCACAACGCTTGACGTATCGGGATAGTCTCGGACTCAAGTCACCCGTGCAGCCGAAGCCGCATGGGGACCGAGTCGAGACGCGGACTTCCCACTTGCGTGGGAGGTGGCAGATGGGTGCATGAGGTGTGTGAGTGTTGATTTCTGGTGGGGTGGTGGTGGTGGTGGTGGTGGTGGTGGTGGAGGAGGTAGGGAGTGAGTGAATGTGTGGTGTGGCCGAATAGGCCCATGCGATGGCTGAAAGTGCGAGGGCAGTGTGGGCAGTTGAGATAAGTTTGGTGGGTATAGTTTGGTGCTCCAGGCACTGGTTTACCAGTCTCTGTGCGATGGATTCGCAAGTGACCGACCAGGTCGATGCGTGAGGTGAATGTGCGTGGACAGTGTGGGCAGGAGAAGTCGGCGTTGTCAGTGTAAGCTGCAGAGGAGGCGGTGGTGTTGGTGATGGTGGTGACGCGGACGGATGTAACGAGGGTGGGGCTGTGCACGGTGGATGTGGTGGGTGTGTCGGGAGTACGGTCAAGGCCGCTCTCGTGGATGCGCATGTGGCCGAATAGATCCATGCGATGCCTGAAGGTGCGAGGGCAGTGTGGGCAGTGGAGGCGAGTGCGGTGAGTGTAGGTTGGTGCTTCACGCACTGGTTTGCCAGGATCTGGTCGATGGATTCGCAAGTGACCGACCAGGCCGATGTGTGTGTTGAAGGTACGGTCGCAATGAGGGCAGGTGTAGTCGTGATTCTCATCCCGGGAGTCGGGCGAGGTGGTGGTAGTGTCGGTTGCTGTGCGCGGGACAGTCACCTGAGCGGCCGCCGTTGGAGCAGTGGGCGAGGATGATGATGATGATGATGATGATGATGATGATGATGATGATGATGATGATGATGATGATGATGATGATGATGATGATGATGATGATGATGATGATGATGATGATGATGATGATGATGATGATGATGATGGAAGTGGTGGGTCAGAAGAATTGTCAAGGTTAGTTGGCGGCGGAGAGGAGGAGGAAGAGGCGGACGGGGGGACGATGGTTGGTGCCGTTCGAGAGGCGCAGTTGATCCGAAGATGTCCAACAAGTCCGATTCGAGCCCGGAATGTCCGTTGAAATCGAGGACACGTTGGAAGCGGTTGTGCGGCGGTGTTGCTTACTGGGCGAATTTGTGATTTGCGAGCTTCGCGTTTCGATTTGGCGGCGGCGATGCGGTTGGTTTCGTAGATCGCAACGCCTGTCTTCACTGTGCTCCTCCATGTCGGTCGATCGAAAGCGAGCTCCTCCCAGTTGGTGGGGTTGATTTGCAGGTATTTCAGGGAGGACTTCAGGGTATCCTTGTAACGGCGAATTTGGCCTCCTTGACGACGAGAACCCGTCGCGACGTCTCCGTAGATGAGTCGTTTGGGTAGTCGCTCGTCGTCCATGCGCACCAGGTGGCCGCTCCAGCGCAGCTGCATTTGCCTCATTGTCGGGGATTCGATCCTGCCACTTTAGCTTCAGGATGTGACGAAGACAACTGAGGTGGAAGTGGTTCAGACGACGTGCCTGCTTTGCGTACACCGTCAAAGTCTCCGCTTCATACAGTAGTGTCGGCAGGATGACGGCCTTGTACATCTTCAGCTTCGTGCTCAGCTGAAGACCGTGGCGATTCCAAACTGTGCTTTGGAGGCGACCGAAGGCTTGACTAGCTTTCGAGATCCTTTTGGCGACTTCGTCATCGATCTTGGTGTTGCGCGAGAGGGTACTGCCCAGGTACGGGAAGTTCTCCACCACTTGCAGTTGGGTCCCATTCACGCTGATTTGCGGCGGCGCGTTGGGGGCTGTGGCTGATTTGGGTGGCGGTTGGTGCATCACCACCGTCTTCTGTGTGTTGATGACCAGACCGAAGTTCTCGCAGGCGGCGGAGAACAGGTCCATGCTCCGTTGCATCTGCTCTTCCGAGGTGGTGTTCAGGGCGCAGTCGTCGGCGAAGAGGAGTTCGTGCACGGTGGTTGTGGATACGCGCGATTGGAAGTGCATCCGCCGTTGATTCAGGAGGTGACCGTCCGTCCTGTAGGCGATGCGGATCCCGGGGCGTTCGTCGCGGTAGGCGTCCATTAGCATGGCAGAGAACATAAGACTGAAGAGGGTTGGTGCCAGCACGCATCCCTGTTTCACTCCGTTGGTCAATGCGAATGCCTCTGAGACAGCTCCGTTGTCCGTGACTCGCGCCATTATACCGTCGTGCAGCTGACACACCATCTGAGTGAATCGCTCCGGACAGCCGAATTTCTGCATGATCTTCCACAGTCCTTCACAATTCACCGTGTCGAAGGCTTTCGTCAGGTCCACGAAGGTAGAGTACAGGTGGGTCCGCATCTCCTGGCACTTCTCCTGAAGTTGGCGGGCGGCGAAGATCATATCCGTTGTCCCACGATGACGACGGAAGCCGCATTGGATTTCCGGCAGAAGGCCCTGTTCCAGGTGGTTATTGAGGCGGTTGAGAAGGATGCGAGCGAAGATCTTCCCGGCGATGTTCAGCAGGGAGATGCCGCGGTGATTGTCGCAGACTTGGCGATTCCCTTTGCGCTTGTAGAGATGCACGATGGTTGCGTCTTTGAAATCTTGTGGGACTTCACCTTGACGCCACATCTCTTGGAAGAGCTCAGTCAGGTGATCCATCAGTTGGGGACCTCCATGCTTGTAGACCTCAGCAGGGATTGCGTTCGATCCGGGCGCTTTCCAGCTGGAGAGCTGCTGCACGGCCCTGATGGTCTCCTGGAGAGATGGAGGGAGGTCGAGGTCCACGTTTGTCTCCACTTGCGGCAAACGCTCGATGGCGGCGTCGGAGATGACGGAGGGGCGGTTGAGGACGCCTCGGAAATGCTCGGCCCATCTCTGTAGAATTTGTGTCTTCTCAGTCAGGAGAGTGTTGCCGTCGGCGCGGAGGAGAGGGGCAGTGTCCTTCGTCGGCGGACCGTAGACAGTCTTTATCGCAGAGAAGAAGTTCTTCCATTCTTTGCGGTCCGCGTACCCTTGGATATCCTCAGCTTTGCGAGCAGTCCAGGCGCCCTGCATCTCGCGCAATCGTTGCTGCAGTTGGCGGCGACTGCGGTAGAAGGCAGCTTTGGTGGCATCAGTGGGGTGATCTACGAAGGCTTTGTGTAGGCGGTTCTTCCCAGCAAGCAGATTTCTGATGGCGGCGTCGTTGTCGTCGAACCAGTCCTGGTGTTGTCGGGGAGCACGACCAAGGACGGCGAGCGCCGTCGACTGGACCGTGTCTCGCAGTTGACACCAGCGGTTCTCCACGGAGGCGTTCTCGGCGGCGGCAGCGTCGTCGGCAGCAGCGATAGGAAGGTTGTCTAGCCTTTGAGCTATCTCATTGATGAAATGAAGATGGTGAGCGGGCAAAGACAACAAGGCAACATTCACTTTACCTGGGGTCGTTTACCATGTGGTCTCCTGCGAGGCTGTAGGCGAATACGCATCTTCGAGATGACGAGGCGATGGTCGATCCACCCGTGAGCACCCGCGATCGCCTTCATCACCAGCACGTCCCGCTGATCTCGCCTCCGGACGAGGACGTAGTCCAGCAGGTGCCACTGGCGCGACCGAGGATGCCTCCCGGTGGCCTTCTCTCGCTCCGGCAGACAGAAGAAGGTGTTCTTTAGGATAAGGCGATGTTCTGCGCAGGTGCGGAGAAGCAGCAGACGATTGTCATTTGAGCCGCGAGTAGTAAAAAGCTGAATGTCCCTTCTGCACGTCATAAAATGAGCATTTGTGGATTTCGATGTATACCTCAGCACAATTCGGTGTCTTTGTGAGAAATAGGCCTATCCCGTTGGACACCTTATTTGTCACAAACAAATTGTAAGAATTAGCAACATTGTATAATAAAGCGATTTCAAGTGGAAGCATACGTAATTCCACATAAGTACTATTTTCAAATGTTGCATGGTCAAGTAGCCCGCTTGTCGCAACAGCAGATGTCTCCCAATCGATGTTTGAATGACTCCACAGACTGAGACATTAGAATCAACACAAGTAGGTTATTTCATGGTTTCTCTACACGGTTCGTTAAAAAGTACTCTCACGCATCTGGTTTTCCGTGGAGCATACTTACTGTAAGAGGATGCCCTTGGAGGTTGGTTGTAGTGGCGGATCGGAAGAAGTCCCAATGTTAGACGGCAAAGAATAAATCACTTACGAAAACGAAAGTCTATACGGAGTCCCGTGCAATTACCTGTATCTCGGGAGACAGAGATTTAGATTATTTAGGTGGGTTCCATATAGCAGTGCTTTATGACTTCTTACAAATTTCATGCTTCGCATAAGAAGTCTCTCAGGTATGTTATCATTCCGCTGCGTCAGGGGCTTTCCAGCTTGGATCGCTTAAAAACGTACTTAATGCTTCAGACAGCTTGTCTTCATCGAAAAGTTTTTAACTCTCGCTTTGTGGATTAATGCACAAGGGCTGCGGTTTTAAAGGCTTTAAATCAGTGTGCAGAAGCCTTTAGAGTGTTCGTCATTTGAAATGTGACATTGTTTTGTGTTTGGGTTATTTAAAGAAGCATTCAGTTAAAATGATACTGACACGCATGAGAGACCTAGATTTGATTTCGTAGAGCCAAGAGGATGCAATTGTTCCGGCTGAACCATCTATGGGACCATGCTTAGAAATACGTTTCGGCGGCAGCGCTGCAAATGAATTTCCATATTTTTATATTATCCGAAAACATGTCACAATCACAGTCCAATTATTGCACATAATCGTTAGTAAACAAAAGAAAGGAGATCGGACCAACACTGAACCTAGATTATACTCTCGGACATTTCGATACTCTCCTCCGTTTCTTGTTATGGTTACGCTTTCATAAATACTTGTAGAGCAATTTACAAATTTAAACTGTTCGGTTGGGCAATGCATTCGGGAAATCTCTTAGTCCTTTTAAAAGTAAGTCCTTAAGCTTGTTCCTTTAGACTTAGTAACTTCCAACAAACGTCTTCCGCATCGTTCCTTTCACACTGTTCCTAATTTTGGACTTCACGTTGACCACGGCTGTTGCTTTGCATTCCCAGATCTCGATAAGGGATATTTGTTCCTCATGAGATGAAAACAACTTCCATTTAGTGAATTCCGGTCCTCGGTGGCATTTCGGAGAAGAGAACATCCCAGTCTATTCAACTGTAATTTGATAAAAGCCGCCTTATTTTGTGTTTTTAACAAAACTTTTAACCTGCATGGGATCAAACAAACTGCCCCCAGTAGCGCGTCGTATCTCAGGAAGGTTAGAGCGTTGGTTGTACTTAAGCCTTTCCTTTGCTTCTATGGGTTCGCATCGTACCGAGGCCACCGAGTTCTTCATAATTAAGTTAAATTAAAGTCTCTAATATCGGAGTTGAAGAGGAGACTTGCAGCGGGAGAGAGCAACTTGGCCATTTTCAGGGGACAAGTAATACAGAGGAACGCGATGTTGTTTTGGAACCAGCCAGTCATCATGATGGCGGCAGCAACATAATATTGGCAAACCCGAGACAAACCGAACGAAGTACTGTCGAATGTTGCAAACTAAAATTCTTTTACACCAATGCTCAGAGTCTGTTTTCCAAGCTTGACGAACTGAGAATACAGGTAGACGATACTCTTCCCGATGTTATAGCAATAACAGAAACGTGGCTGTCAGAGGACGTTGGCGATTGCGAGGTAGCATTAACAGGATACCATTTGTTTAGGAGAGACAGGAGAGGCCGCCGGGGTGGAGGAGTTGCCATGTATGTCAAGAGCAACTTAGCAGTGTGTGAGAGGACCGACAAGATTTCTAACGACACAGAGGCAATTTGGCTGACTATAAAGACGCGGGGATCTCAGTCCCTCGAAGTCTTAACTGTCTACCGGCCCCCGCAGGCGGATCCCGACCCGGATACTTGTCTACTGAAAAGCATCAAAGAGATCGCCAGCCGACCAGACGTTGTTATCATGGGGGATTTTAATGCACCATGCATTCAATGGAGCGATATGCATGCGAAATGCTCGATGAATACCTTCGATTACAATCTACTAAAGACAACTTTAGAAGCTCTACTCACGCAACATGTCCTGTTTCCAACTAGAGCTCGTGTAGGGCAACAGGCCAGTTGTCTGGACCTCGTTTTTACCAAAGATCCTGACAGTATAGACGAGGTGTACTACCTACCTCCGCTCGGTCGAAGTGATCATGCAGTGCTTTTATGCGAGTACTTGCTGTATTCTGAACCGTGTACAAAAGACAATACGAGGCAAAATATATAGAAAGGGGACTTTCGCCAAATGAGAGCTGAGGCATCACAAATAGACTGGGATGTTCTCTTCTCCGTAAACGTTAACGAGGACTGGAATTTATTCAAGGATCGTTTAATGCATCTAATGAAGTACCACTGTCCCTTATCAAAGCCTAGGACATCCAACCGCCCTCAGTGGCTTACACGAGAACTCAAAAGGGAGATCAACAAGAAAGGTGGGTTATGGAAAACATTTCGCCAGAACAACAATAATGCAGCGTTTACAGAATACAAAATTCAAAGAAATAAGGTGAAAAGCCTGATTTTCAGGAGGCGACGGGATTTTGAGAGTAATTTGCTCCACAAAGCCGTTAAAAATCCGAAATTGCTCTACAGCTATTTGCGGAAAAGCACACGTAACAGGAATCCCATTCCTGTTATGAGGGGTGATGACGGCTTGGAAATAGCGGACAGTACAAACAAGGCTGAGCACTTTTCTCAATTTTTCCGATCCGTTTTCACAAGAGAAGCGGACTTTACCCCATCTAATTCTGAGACATGAGAGATCCCACTATCGAAAATATTGTGTTTCGAGAAGAAGCGATTTTGGAAGAACTGAAAAGCTTGAAGGAATGTAAATCTCCCGGTCCGGACGAGATTCCAGCAAAGCCGCTCTTTGAGCTTGCCCAACAGCTGGCCAAGCCACTATCCTTTCTGTGCCAAAAATCGTTTGATGCTGGAATTCTTCCCACAGACTGGAAGACGGCCCACATTACACCCCTTTACAAAAGCGGTAGTCGTGCTCAGGCGACAAACTACAGACCCGTCAGTCTGACATCAATCTGCTGCAAAGTGATGGAAAAAAACATCAAAAAGGAGTTGATGACTTACTTGGAAACCCACAACCTCTTGTCCAATACACAACATGGTTTCCGTAGAGGAAGATCATGTGTTACGAACTTGCTATACACAGTGCAAAGTTGGACACGAGCACTGGACGCAAAACACACCGTGCATGTTGCCTATATTGATTTTCGGAAGGCCTTTGACAGTGTTTCGCACCAGCGTCTCCTACACAAGTTGAGAATTATGGGCATCGGTGGCAAACTTCTCAAATGGATCGAAAATTTCCTTGTCGGCCGTTCCCAAATTGTCTGCGTAGAACAACAGCAATCAAGGTGCACATTCGTAGAGAGTGGGGTCCCACAAGGCTCGGTGCTCGGACCAACTCTCTTTCTCTTGTTCATCAATGATTGTGTAGATGGGTTGGACTGTGATTGTGCCATGTTTGCGGATGACATAAAAAACTGGAAAGTCATCCAGAATGCTGCCGATTAGACCAACTTCCAAGAAAATCTTTGTCGGTTGGACGAGTGGTCCCGCAGATGGCTCTTGTCCTTCAATTTGAACAAATGCACCATTCTGCGCCTCGGAAATCAGAGCCCTAGTACGCGGCAATACCATCTGAACGGAATGCCACTCCGAGAAGCAGAAAATCAGAAAGATCTCGGAGTTTGGGTTGCAGATAGCCTAAAGCCTTCTACACAATGCTGTAAGGCGGCCAAGGCCGCAACTTCAATACTATATGCCATCAAGCGGGCATTCGTAGTTTTCGATGAAGACTGCTTCACCAAATTCTTCGGCACGTTTATAAGGCCCCATCTCGAATATGCAATTCAGGCCTGGAGACCGTGGACGCACCAGGATTACGATCAGCTCGAAAAGGTGCAGAGGCGAGCCACAAAATAAGTAAGAGGTCAAAGTGCACTGCCATACGAGATCCGCTTAACTAACCTTAATCTCTATCCTCTGAGTTATAGGCAGTTGCGCGGAGACATGATACAAACTTTCCGTATCGTGCGCGGCTTGGATTGTGCCCTTCGGTGCGATGACTTTTTCCAACTCGCCACTACAACTCACCTCCGGGGACATCCCTTCAAGCTACGTGTGCCACAGGGAAGACTGACTGTGAGAAAATATTTCTTCTCCAACCGTGTCGTGGAACCGTGGAATAACCTGCCCGAGACGGTTGTTATGTCTCAATCTGTGGAGACATTTAAATGTCGCCTTGACAGATATATGTTGCAGCAACAAGCGGACTGTGACTTTTTAGCCATGTAACCAGTGACATATGTGAATCAATGTATGCATTCACTTAATGCTCTAATTTATTCACATTTTTGCTTGTTAATGGATTTTTTATGTACAAATAGGGAGTTCAAAGGCGTATGCCTATTTCCCTCAAATACACTGACTGACTGACTGATCTTCCGTCTATTGACGTGACTGCACTTGGAATACGGTGTATACGCCTGCAGGCCGTGGGTGGCTCAACATCAAAATACCCTTCATAGAGGCGCGATCCAATTCCTAACCAAGAACACATACTGGCACAATACCGTAACACGACGTAGACCCAACCTTATCGCAAACACGGCCTTCTGCACTTACTCCCCTTCCTGTCTGACTGACTATAAAAACTGTCAAGTTGATGTTGAATTCACAGAGT